CACACACACACACACACACACACACACCTTCATAACTACCCTATGGGCATAGTGTTTACTATGCAGGATATGAACTTAAGTATGGAAATGATAACTAGTGGGAGCACATCTTTTCAGTGTGCGATCAGCCATTCGATAACACGAGGTCATGTGTTGGAAATGTAGATAATGTTTTACATAATTCTCAAAGTGTTCCTTGTTTGACACTGGGTGTGCAGTGCCACAGAACAGGAATAACAAACTGATACAGAGCTACAGATACACAGAGGGACGTTTTGAATTTTATTATTGTTAATTCAGGTTAACAGGAGCGAGAAAGCACTGACATGCTATTTCAGGGGAATCGAGTGCAGTTTATGTTTCAGCTGCTCAGCTTTGTGTTTTAACCAGTGGTGTGAAATTTCAGGAACCACAGTTCCTGAGGGTCTTTAGGAATTTTTAAAGATTTTTAAAAAGAAAAGTAAGGTCATGAAATGTCTTAAAGTTTTATATTTACTTATCAGAGGTTTTCAGTTTACATATGTCCTAACTGTGGATGCCCTGATCCAACTTTCTATACTTCCACTTCCGATTTGATACCTTGGCTCTGAGTATCTGCCGATATAAGTCGGATATAAGCTGTGATCCTCACTTTAAGGAAGAATTTGGGAATCGTAAGGCAAAATCAGGCTACACAACATTTTCTAATTTAACCTTTATTTAAACAGGAAGTCCCTTAAAGATTAAAATCTATTTTTCCATGGAGGCCTGACCGAGAACGCATACCATTACAAGGTTTCTAATGTTTCTAAAATAAAATAGAACAGACGTGGGAAAATTTTAAAGCAAATTGGAAACGAATTACATAATAGAAAGCCTAGTTAGGGAACCTTTATTAGAGGTTTAAACTCTAAAAGTTTACTTACTCTGTGTGCTGCTCTTCCAAATTCTGAAAAAAAACCCTGGATACTCTGGGGTGGAAGGATGTAGAGGAGCTGCAGATGCATTCAGGAATTGAAATATACTGCATTGGTATGTATTAGTGAAATAATAAATAACAGGACTGAGATAAACACAGTGAAACATTAATAAATGTGTAGCTGTTAGCCGTCCTTTGCTGTATCCTGATTTCATCTCAAAGTTGGATTCAAGCAAAATCATGCTAGTTTCTCCCTTTCCTGTGTATTTGGGGAGCTTACAGGAAACTGCTTAAGTGAAATAATGCTATTCAAATTGAGCAAAGTTGACTTTAAGCTCTGTCAAAAGCTTCCCAAAAGGTTTTGAACTACACCAGTCCTTGGAACTGAAACGATGGCACGGCGTGTCACCTGATTCACATTTCTCTAATCAGAAATTTTTTTTCCTTTTCTTTTCTTTTCTTTTCTTTTCTTTTCTTTTCTTTTCTTTTCTTTTCTTTTCTTTTCTTTTTTTAAAATTATCTTGCATTGACAAACAATGAGAGGAGGAGAAGAAGAAGCTAGACAGACGAGGAAATGTAGAAATAGTAAAAGAATATGGCTCCAATTTTTGAGTTTTGAAATGGTTTCAAGATGTGCTCAGAAACGTTAACTTTAGACGACGGGATTTAAGACAATCAAGTTCCAGATAATGACTAGAAGAGTATCAACCCTCTGCTGATATTTGGAAAACTTTGTTGCCACTAGAGTCTTTTATCTTTGCAGTTCCTTCTGGTCCAAAGACTAGTGACACTGGGCATGATGAACCACCCACAGTGTTATTGTTAAGAATAAGTTAAAGCAACTCTTCACGCGATAGACGGTCAGTTGTTATACAAAGAGATAAAACTACATCACACTGCTAGAGTTGGTATTGTTCTCCTGTGGAACTGGTATCCATTTGTCCTTATTAAGAAGTCTTAAAATTGATTCCTATTTCTGTATGCATTCCTGTATCTTTAGACCCAAGTGGCGCTGTTAATTTTAGTAGAAAACAAATTGCTCACTTCGAGCTTCTCCCCTGTAAACTTTTACTGCTGTTCTCGATCCTTGTACAATTTCAGCTTCTAAAAATGTTGCCAGTTATATGGAGAAATAAGACAAGATGGACATAAGTTTATTTGTGGGTTTGATCTCTCTTGGCTGCATGTTTTTACAATGAATTTCTGATAAGGTTTCATTGCTGATGTTGAAGCTATCTGGAATAAGATGCTCTTTTTTTGGATCTTGCAACTGTGCTAAGCTCAGACATTACAAGAATAACCATTAAAGGCATTTGGGGCCCACAGTGAGAGTGCCTGCAGTAGTCTTGGTGTTGTGTTGTGTGAGGGCCGGGGCCGTGGGGAGAGTCGGCGTTGAGTTCCCAGGCCCGGCCAGGCCAAAGGGAACAACATGGCTCTGTTTGGAGCGTCTGTGCTTGTCATCGGTCTCAGGCTTCACTTGTGCCGTCAGTGTCACCACTACATTGTCACTTAGTGCCACTAGGCGTGATATCTAATACAGCAGTGCAGGAACACGGCCAATCGGCAACCTGTGGCTTTCATCTGTTGGCGCCGGTTTGAAACGTGGAAGCATATTTTTGGACAGATGATGTCATGTTTTGTGTTGTGGAGAAGTGGTACACAATAACCTTTGACTTCTTACATTTCTCTTAATTAATAAGTAAAGCTGTGATGGCTAAAAAAAATAACATGCACCAAATGATGTCCCCTTCCCTGTAAACTACTTTAATTCCCATTAACCTGAAAATGTGCTTATTTCAAACTTAGTTTTCTCCAGATCGTTTAATCTTTTCCAACTTCCTCTCTGTTATTTGGGAATCTCAGACCTGCTGACATGCTGGTAAAAAGCGACCCGTTTCCAATTTGTATGTGCACTGTAAACCAAAATGCCACCAAAATTCCATTTGTCTTTTAATCATTGACACTTGACACCATGGGCTGGGTCCATATGACTTTTTTGTTGTTGTTTTGGTTTGTTTATCAAGTAATACAGTTAAATTAACTGGGTTTTATATATTGATATCATTGTCAGGGCGTAGACGGAAGATTTTCGCAGTTGCGACTGTATTAGGCGACAAGCCTCAGAGCTGTGGTCGCATTGTGTCACGATCTGTTGAACGTATTGCTGGTGGAAATTTTGACGTTGCTTCTGTTAACCAATGGATATCATCCTGTATGGTTTTTGCATGTTGATGTAAAACTGAGAGACATTTTTATTTATGCCATATTTCAGTGGATATGCTCAGCTCTCGTGCCCTTTACTCTTAATAATCAAAGCAGGAGGGAAAACTTTTTCCCACTGTAGCCCTGGATAACAGTAGACCCATGGAAAGGAAAGCACGGATACAAACGGTCATCTATGCAAATGGAAACAAATGTCACTGCGGTGGCAACGTTAGCCATTTGACAGTGTCTGTCAGCTGAAGTGAAGCAAATTCAAATGAGCCCCGGTCTCTATTTAGCACTGTGTAGTTTTATTTCTGTTAGACATATTTGAAATATATTAATGTTACTTATTTACACCCTGATGGATCAAGCCTCCAAAATGCTACTTTATATCTTGCAGTCTGTTCTTAAAGGCGAACCTTATTGTTCTTTAAGCTGGAGCAGAGTTACTGTACGGATGCACTGTTCATATCTTTTGCGGTTCAACTTGTGGAACACTGTCAGTGAGTGTGTAACATGATTTAATATCATCTTATATCGGTTTACAGGCCAAACCTGTGATTATTCCTCCTGTAAGTAATTGGAACTGCTTTGTGCTTAACTTTTTCCCCATTACAGACATCAAGGGCAGTTTCCGTTGTAGTTATCTTTATAGTGGAACATGGGAAGTCCTTGAAGTTTTTCCAGTTCATCACTTGAGGATCCTTACAGAGAGGCAAAAGGTGGCCTGGAGGCCTTCTCTTATGTTTTTTTCATCTTATATAAATAACAATAAAAAACTTTATTTATATAGCTACTGTTTTAGGACGTCATGTTATTAAGTTCCTCACAGGACCAGCAAAACAAAGCAAACTCTGCTCAGTTGTAATAGTTACTAATTGGAAACCTATAATAACAGAATTTGCAAAATTTAGGGAATAAAACAAAGTGCAAAAGGGAAATTAAAAGTCAAGTTGAGAAGAGGTATCAGATAAAAGCATGGGTTAAGATATGACTTAAAGGAGGTGACTGACTCCAACAACCTGATTTCCTCGGGTAGGTTGTTACAGAACCTTTGGGCCGGGACTGCAAACGCTCTATATATCATTTAGTTTAGAGCCGGGCCCTGGAAAATGAAGAACAGTCTTGAACAGTTGTAATGGCTATCTATAAAGTAACCCAAATGAATTTAAGTGTTCGACGGAAGATGCAAGCCATTTGCTTTACAACTTTATTTTGATGAGTTAAGTGAAATGTAGGCCATTTTGTTCTTGGTCTTCCTGACCTGTATGACAGATTACATCACAAAAACTTTATTAACATTGAGAGGCTGAGAAATGATCAGTATCTTGAGGCTGGCGATAGAGTGGGGGGGTGGAAATGGCGTGGGAGGAAGAGCATAGGAAAGGGTTAAAAAACTTGTGTTTTAGCAGATTCCCTCCTGGTCTCTTTCTGTGTTATCAGTTCCTCTGTAGGGCACTGTAGCACACACTGCATTTATTCAAAGACCCAGTGTCACACGCCTCTGTGGAAAAGAGCCCTAAGGACCATATTTTTTTTTTCTTTTCTCCTTTCCTTCTTATTGCCCCTTCCACCCCTCATCCTCCCTCCATCAAGCTTCAGCACTCACCAGCCTTTTTGAGCCTTTCTTTAGGGTCTCAGACCCCTTAATGCTTCTTCTATGAGACCTGTACCAGCACTAGTGTTGTCTTACTGATACTGGTTCAGTTGGGGGTTGAATTTCGACTGAAACCGAGGTGAACGCAAACACAGACCAGAAAGCAAATATGGCTGCTTTTTTTTTTTTTTTTTTTTGTTCAAGAGGTAAACTGTGTGCTGCAGGAAGCAGATCCACAGTTGTGCAATGTGTTATGTTGCATATTTTGATAGAACAGCTAACAGCTTGGCATGAAAAGTCTATCAAAGGCACAAGTGAGGAAAAACCTTAAATGTAAGGCCATATATAACAAAAGGACTGGATCAGTCTTTTTTTTTAATTTTTTTTTTTACCCCCCCCCCTCCATGTTTAACTGAATCACCGGATCTGCCGAGAGGAGATCTCCCGGAGCATGTGATCATTTATCAGCCTCCCTTCTCCCTTTCTCTCTCCCCCTCTCTCTCTGGTTTGGGGCTACTTTAACCCTCTCTCCAGTCACAGCGAAGAGCCAGTGCTGAGCGCAGAGAGTCATGTGGTGCCTCCATGCTAGAGTAGGAGCCCATTTCAAAGACATGTGGACAAGCAGCGAATAGGAATATTAGCCCAATCACCTCTGTCTAGATTGAACAGAGACTCCTGGAAAGTGTCTTAAAGTCATTGATGAGTTTCTCTCATTAGCTGAAGTACTGAAACTACGCATTTACAGCATAGATGGATGTATTTCATTCACCAGAAGTGCAGGTTATATTTATGTACTTTAGAGGATCTACACTAAGTTTTTAGAAATTCCTGGATAAACATGGATCAAGGAATTGAATGGGAAAGCAAAATTGCGTACATGCAAGACGTATGTTCTCATGTTGCTTTTAGATTTAGATTGGCGGGAGGACATAGATAACGTCAGACAGACTTAATGAAATGGAGAGAGACATAACAGTTAAGTTCACTCTGACCCTCTCTTCTCTTTAAACGTCATCTTGTAGTTTTGTAATTTAAACATGAAAACTTAAGATACCACAGCAGTCCTTACAGAGTGACAGTAGGGGCTGAACTGTATAGTCTCTATTGTGACAGTGAGTGTAACCCCCCCCCCCCCAATATAACATCTAATCTCTTAATTGACTAATACAGATGGTGTTTGTTAGCATTTTAGTTTACAACTTTGTCCTTTCTGTTGCAACAGGTTGTAAAATGGAACATAAAGCTAGGGATTTTCTTGGCTTACAACAGACTTTCGGGGGGGTGCATGTGCTCAAAGACTCTTACCTTACTTTTCATTTTTATAGCCATTTTTCAAACTAAATCATTTAGCTTGAGTATGTTAAACCCAACCATTTTTTCTTATATATATATATACTGGGTGGAAAAGAAAAAACCAAACCTGGAAGCATGGCTATGAATATATGGTGCATATCTTTGTATAGGTGTGATTCAGATCTAACAAACTAGGAGACCTGCTGTTTTCATCATGTCCAGTAGTTATATAGGAAATGTTGAGTGAGAAATTCTTTTCTGCTCCTGCATTTTGAGGTAACTGTCTCCAGCTATGGAAGAAAAGTATTTGGTCTGGGTGAAGTGTGTGTGTGTGTGTGTGTGTGTGTGTGTGTGTACTGTGTATATGTAACTTTCAGTTTAGTGATTTGTGTGATTTAGTATGTTTTTCTTGATAGATGTTTATACAAAGTGGTTATTTTAAAGGAAAAAAGTTTTTTGTTTTCATGCCAAAAAGTGTCTGCAGTGTCCTGCTTTAAATTTCCAGGTGTAATGTCATGCGTCATGTCATTGAAGCCCTCACTTTGAATGCAAAGTGCAATAACATTGGAAGACACGATGATCAGTGAATACACTTAGCCAGCAGCATCCCCGCTCTCATTGCGCAGAATTAGCTTGATGGCTACGTGAAAGCTTCTCCGGGAAGTCGTATTGTTTTGTTGGTGGTGCCAAGTGGAATGAAATGAACTCTCACACCTCAAATATGCAGCTGGAGTCAGATGGTGTGGGTTTTTAACAGTTAATTAATACCAATGAAATGGTAATGAAATGATTTACAGTAAATGATTGCATCAATCCAATATTATTTCAATTTTAATTCTACCCTCCAATGTCATAAATTGTCACTTCATGCCCCTACAGTGACACAGCAGTGTTCGGACTAGCTTGGACTTCCAATATCTGAATCATCATTCTTCTTTTTTCTTCTTCTTTTTATTAAATTGTTCTCTCAGGTCTTGTCCATTAGGGGAGAACTAAAACATATCAGAAGGTATTTAGATGACCTACTTACCTTACATTACCTTACAGCACCAAAGTGAAAAGGGTTAAAGATAGGGTTGGGCTTTTGCTACGTGTAGCAGTAGAAACCGATTCTAAGAAATCTGTTTTTGGCGCAAAGCTAAAGGTCGTGAATGTATTTGTTGTTAGTGGACACGGAGAGCTGTGGACACCCGCAACGTGTTGTTGTTGTTGTTCTTATGTGCTTTCATGTTTGCTGAGAGAATGTTGTTCTTGCAAACTGGAGGTTACGCAAAGGTATCCCAACAGGTATCCCAAAGCTAGGCTAAATACGTTTCAAGTCAGGAAATAACATGCTTGGGTTGCAGCATGACTAGAAAAAGTTGTATTTTCAGAAATAACATGAGAACGTTTGGAAAATGTCATAATACACAGGATAGAATTGCAACCTCTTTCTATTTTTTTATATAAAGAAAGAGAAAAATGTATGTGTCAGGACATGATATACAAATAAAAAACTTATTTGGTCCTTTACAAGTTCTAAAATTGTTTAAACAAAACCTCAGGTAAACAATGACACGCGATCTATTAAACTGTCCTATTATTTATTTAACTGAGCAAAAATGCAGAAATCATGAGTGGAAAAACTAAGTCCGCCTCATGATTCAATTACTCGTTGAACCACCTTTATTAGCAATTAACTTTTTTCATAATTTTCCACGTGATGCTACTACTAGATGCTACTTTTGGATTTGAGTCAGGTTAAGTTTTAGACTTCAGGCCATTGCGACGCTTTGATTCTTGTTTTGTGGGCAATTTGGATCATTATCCTGTTGCATGGTGCAGTTTTAGCCCAGGTTTAGCTCCAGCTGTCAGATGCATCGTCACTGTTTCACTCAATCACTATAAGGTGACCAGGTCCTGCAGCTGAAAAAAACAGCCTCAAATCATCACTCCCCCGCCACAGTGGTTGACAACTGGTATGAGGTGTTAGTGTTGATATTCTGTTTGGTTTTCGCTGTGCACTACGGCCAAGGCTCTCCACTTCGGTCTCATCGGTTCTTTGGTTTGTTCAGATGCAAATTTACAAACCTAGGCCACGGTGCCATGTTCTTTTTAGAGAGAAGAGGCTTTCACCAGGTATCCCTTCCAAACAAGCTATACTTGTTCAGTCTTTTTCTAATTCTACTGTCATGAACTTTAACATTTAACATGCTGCTTTCTGGGACGTCCACTCCTGGGGAGATTGGCAATTTGTGCGTAATCTTTCTCCCTGGCAAGGATTATATTTTTGAAAATGGACTTGCAACCCTTCCTGGATTGCTGGGCAGCATCCTTAAATGCTTGAGACTACGAAAAAGCCAAAACGTTTGCTTGTGTTTGTTTGTTGCTCACAATTAATAGTCATAAGTTAATCAAGTGCATTTGATTAGCAGCACCTGGCTGCTACTCACTCTCTTAATTCCTATAGACACAGTGAGGGTGCACGTAGTTTTTCCAACACTGCTCTTTCATTTATGTCTTGGTTTTTATTAAATGAATAATATTTAATATGTCATGTTTTGTACCTATTTATAAGACTTGTTGAAGACCAGATGAACTAAAAGAGATTGTACTTTCTTTTTCATATGACTGTACATGTACTTGTATATAAATGTTTTTCTTGATGTGTTTTTGTTGCTTTTAAAACTTTTTTTTTTAAATCCCTCTCAGGAGTTCTTTGATCACGCAAAGAAGCTGTGGGACGACGAAGGAGTGAAAGCATGCTTTGAGAGGTCCAATGAATACCAGCTCATCGACTGTGCACAATAGTGAGTTCAAACCTTCATAATACATTTTACGGAGTTCACTTCATGAACACATGCTTTTATGTACTTGGTGGTTTGTGCTGCTATAAATGGGAAGGATAAAGGACCTGGTTTGTTTTTCATCCTGCAAATTATAATCTCTGCTTCATCTACCCCCTTGGTTTTTTGGGCTGTTTTTTTTTTTTTCCCCCTGTCGCCTTTGAGGTGAAAGCTCTGCAGTGTCTGTTGGTGTCATGTCGTATATGAATGTGGCTAAGATATGTTTACTCTGGGTGTGGCAAATTGAGCAAGAGCTGTAGCTGTCCATTGGAAAATTTAGCATATCTCTCCTCATATCAGTGTTTGGCTTTTCTCCATGGCAATATGCAAAGCCTGGTCTGACCTGTATTAAAATGCCCCAGTGTTAAATTTATTGAAGCTGTTCTATTGAAAACTGTAATTAGGTAATGATGGTGTAATCTTGCAGTTCGGGGGTGTCAAACTCAGTTTAGCTCATAAACCACATAAAGTTAAATTTGGTCTTGGCTAGACGGCTGTTTCCTGCAATCTATAACTGATTAAATGCCTCTAAATCAGTTCTTTCTTTTTGGTTTTAAGTAGCGTAGCTGAAACTTTCTGAGGGTCTTCTGTTTTCATTGCTATCATTGTTGTTATTGTGGTGGTGATTGTTGTTATTGTTGCAAAACTGATGTACAGCCTGAGATGTGCAGTTTTGAGAAACATAATCGTAAAGAAATACTTATGTAGAAAATCAAAGAAACCTGTCGGTGGGCTTTGGCTTAACTGTGCTCTAAGAAACATATTAGTTGGCAGCTCTTTCACATAATTTAAAAAAGGTGAGAATTTCTCTTAACTTGGGGAAAAAACAAAGTAAAAAAAACAAACAGGAATTTTGTTATTGAATGGAATAATAACAGTAAAAAAAATGCCTAATTTTTTTTCATTCCTTGGTTTTGTATGGCTGGCTATCTATAATGTCAATGATGTAGACATGAAAGGAACAGTCTGGGCTCTCATGAAGTGATCCTCCAAATACTGTCCAGCATATAGGTCTTGTTTAATAGCAACTTTTACAATTTGCCAATCCATTAGATGGGCCAGATTAGTCCCTTTGTTAGGCCACTATCCCTGCTCTAGTTAAAGCTAGTATTTTTCAACTGTTTAAGTAAGACAAACATCTACCTTCGGGTTGGTTCACTAAATAACAGTGTAAAGTGTAGCAGCTACGATCTTAGTCCAGCTGAACTGTAGATGTAGTAAGTACTGATACTGCAGTGTGCAGGGTGCTGAAACTGATGTCACTTTGAGGAGAGTCCCGGATTGTTTTTACGGCTCCTAAAGCACTTTGGGCCACCATAGGGAGCTGGTTGTACACTAGGAAGGGCCCCTCTGTTCCCTGTAAAAGGAAGTTTGGATATGCAAAAGGATTCACTGATTACAGTGCTCTCTTTCTGCTTCCCCTCTGACTCACCTCTGGAGTCACATGTAAATATGAGGATATGTACATGCTGTGGGCTCAGGAGTCCCCTCCCATCCCAAAGGTTGGCTCCCTTTATCTCTGAGGGTTCGATCAAAGCGAGGTCATTATAGTAAACTAAAGTAAAACTGCAAACTAAATCTAGGTGTGGTAAAACATTGGCAGTTAACTGACCCCCCCCCCCCCCCCCCCCAAAAAAAAAACAAAAACCCAAAACAAACAAAAAACAAACAAACAAAAAAAACCTAGACTTGGGGGGGGAAAATAAATAAATAGATAAATGAATAAATGAACTTACAAAGTGAATTAATATAAAATGTAGAGGAAGTGTTCTTAGGATGTCTTTACAGTGGTGTGGTAATGTCACATCTATTACAATTTTCTTAAATACCTGTCCCTTAAAATATATATTTATAATTGAAAAGACTAAAACTAACAAAAACTGGAAGAAGCAAGCCCACTCTGGAAACTAACTGAAGCCAAACTGAATTCAAAGCTAAAACGCATTAGAAGATACAAAACTAATAACTCTAGGTCACAAGCAGGCTACATCAGTGACTGGTGTGTTCATATGTTTGCAGTGTAGAGAGAGTTTTTAATTTTCCCCTAAATATCTTCTGTTCCTCGAACATTAATGTAACTTTTGTTGTTGTTCCCCTGCCTGTGAGGAGCGTCCATAGAAAGAAGAGAAAAAGTCAGGTGATGGTTAAAGAGTCACATGAATCTGTAAGGTGGAGCTGTTACAGTCCACACGGCCTGTGTTTGTCTTTGCTGCTCTGAGTCAGTCTGCGTGTTGTAGGGCAGCGCAAGAAAGAAAGAAAAGAGCATGTTGTGTTTATTTTAGTCCATATCCCAGTGTCATGGTGACATCATTTAATATCGTGGTACCATAAACATTTCAGATCTTTGTTACTTCCTCGTCACAAATGCTGCAAATGCTTCTGAATGTTGAAATCTCCAGGAATATTGTCATAGCTGAAACCACTGAGGCTTGCAGCTAGCCCGAGTGCTGATAATACAGCTGTCCTGTGACATGAGCAAACATTAACACAGTAAAATGAAGACAATGAAAAGCATACAGTGTTTCAGTGCTTCATGTGTGACTTCTCTGTTGTGTGTATTGATTTTGAACTTGGTTGCTATGCCTTTTTCTGTCCTACATCTACTGTTTTGAATGAGGGGGGGGGGAAATACTGCCAAATGATTGAAGTCAGATTTTTTTTCCCTCTCTATTTTCATCCTCCTCCTCCACAAAAATATCATTCATTCTTTCTGCTCTCCTCTGCCTGTCATTTTATCCTCCTCTCTCTGCCTCTCTGCTCCTGTTTGGGCAGTTATACAATAATGTTTGGTCAAGGAATCATCATCGGGGCGCCCCTCTAGCACGTGCCCCATGTACCGAAGGCTGCAGCGGCATGGGTTTGAGTACGCCCCAGGCCAATTTGCTGTGTTATATTCCCCATCTCTCGCCCCCGCTTTACTTTTAGTTTTCTCTATCACAAAATAAAATCTTTAGAATAAACATTACCTTATTTGTTAAACTTAAAGCTTTGTGACTTTTCATCTCAGAATGTTTTTTCTTTGAAAGATAAAGTTGTGTAATAATCTAACTGTGGTGCTGTAAATTTATTTGACATAAACAGAAATATTAAATCTTGAAAAAAAAAATGAATGGTCTAACCATTTTGATAACTGCTAGGCTTTTTGCACGATGTTCCTAAATCTTGCTTTTCAGCAGAAACCTCACAGTATCCCTGTGTTGCCTGAGCCGTGTGTTTTGATTGAAGGCTGGAAATTGTCAGACTCCACAGCCTCTCGCTTACTTCCTCTCGGTTCTAACCTCTGTATGAACTCTCATAGATACTCTGTCCTACATGGCAACAGACATGTATGTGTAAAGGTCCACACATATACACATGCACACCTATTGTTGTTATGACCACGAACTGTTCTGAGTAACCATCCTGGAAGTTGTGGCAGACTGCTTCAGCTGCCAACTGGGTTAAAAGAAAGGGAGCATAGGTCCTTCTGTTGGAGACTGGGTGTATTAAATCAAATGTTTGTGTTTTGATATCAGTATTTTTTTATTTAATTTTTTTGTGAATGTCTCTTGTTGTTTAGGCTTTGCTTTTTAAAGGTCCCATAATCTACCACTTTATTGTGGTAGATTATGGGACATTATTGTTAGCCTCATATTTTCCCACTATAGATATCTGAACTTTGAGGGTAGCTTTGAATTGAACTGGAATGGCTGCTGGCCCCGCCCCTAGGAAGAGGAATAAGTGACAAAGAAATAGCCAATTTAATTAGTGCAGCACATTATACAGAGCTGAGACACTTTGCTTTATGTGTAAATACAGTTTCATTCTCAGAACAGGGTTAGATTTTTGCCAGACTGCATCGAGATCACGAAATCCGGATTTCAGCGGTGTAGAGCAGCGGCCTGGTAAATGGCTTGCCTCTGTTCGCTCTGTGGTCAAAATATTGGTGGAAATATTGACTCTGATGGCTGCATTAAAGTCAATATTTCACCTTGTTTTGTTGCCTGACACTAGGAAAAGAAAACTATGTGAGAAGAGATTTAATGTGATTTTTGGCTGTGTTAAAATGGAGCGTAGAGTAGAAGTGACACAAACAGATGTAATGGATTAACAGAAACTGAGCGAATTTAGCTGCACTGAAGCACATACACTGGTATGAACACAGAGTGACACACATGCACTCGGTATATAAAGAAAGCTATTTTCTCTTGCGCCCTTGTAACAAGTGGTTGATAGATATGAGAGTTATATGCTGGACGCCCTTCCTGATCAAACCACAAAGTTTCCACAGTTCATGAGGCATACATGGTATCAACCAAAGCTAACAATCATGCTAGCTTCATTAGCCCTGCTCGAATACAACAGGGTTGTCCTGGTGTATCTGATTTCTCTGTGCTGGTGTTGTTCCTGCATCATTATGTTGTTGTGATGTCATAAGTTTGGAATATGCTGGGAAAAGAAAAAAAGCTCTCTCCTGGAACAGATGGTAACCATTTAAAGTATTTACTTTATTAATCAATTCAATATAACAGGTATATATTCAGGTTAACTTTGCTGTTAGTTAAATTTGGGTTATTTATGTTGTTGTTTTTAACAGTATTAGCTAACTTCTCAGGTAATGCTAACTGAATTCTGAGATAATGTAATTGGTTGGTTGCGGTGTTGATCCTGGACCAACATTGTTGTGATGATGTGGGAACAACTTCGCCACAGGGATATCAGATCATGCGAGTTGTCCTACGATTGTGGGGACATTGCCGTCTAAAGTAATTCACTTGAGTTTTTAGTTCCTCAGATGGCGGGAGAATCTAAACTTGTTTGGTTATTTGCAGGTTTTTCTGCTCATGGTTATTACCTCTGATGTTAGCAGTATACTAAGATTCTCCCTGGAAAACGTCAGCACAAGTTGTATTACAAGCTTGTAACACTCACATAGTATAAAACCGCATTGTCATGACTTTTATTTCAGTTTTATTTCATATCTT